TCTTCTACTCTACGTCTACTTTACGGACGCAGCCTCGAACCTGCACGAAATTGCGGAGTATGTATCGGCGCGCGTCGATCTCGAGGTTTCTGCAGAAGTACTCCCTGGCGAAGAGCATGATGCCGATGCAGTTCTCCGGGGTCAAATTCAGTCGGAGATAGTCGCAGCAGAGCTCGAGGACACCAGGGATGTTAAGGTAGTCGGCGCTTTGGAGGAGCTGGCAGACGTTGTCCTGCCTGATTTCCAGCGTCCGTAGGTACGCGTACTCGAGGAGAAGATTCATTATCTTGCTGCTGACGTTGGGTAGAAGGAAGTCCGTCTTCTCCTTGGAGTGGAGCGTCGTTGTAAAGAGCGTTCTAAAATTACGTTGCGCGCGAGATGGAAATTTTTATTGACGACGATGCTCAATGTCGCGTAGCAGTAGCAGTAGTAGTAGTAGTAGTAGTGAGAGAGGCGATGGTTTATGGAATTTGCGAGGAATGAAAGTTTAATGAGGTTTGACGGGGGTTCGTTTGAACAGGACGTTGAGGTTAGAATTGACATCGCTCGAGTTCTTTTACGTTCGACTTGCGTTTGTTGCGCTTAGCCTCGTGACTTACGACCGTTAGGGCAATATAGTCCGATGATGATGATGATATGATGATGATGATAAGTTTATCAACGTACGGCGCGCAATAGTGTGAGAAAGGGGTGGGCGACGAGCTGAGAGACCGGCGCACCTGAAGTACGTGCTGCAGGCGGAGAGGATGGCTCGGTGTATGGGGAAAACGCCGCCGTCCTCGAGCCTGATTACGGCGTCGCAGAGTAAATTGTTTTGCCTCAGGTCGTAGAGCGACTGCATCGCCTGGGTGCTCATGCACCTGCCGCTACCCTGATCGGCAATCAGCCGCTTGGTCTTGGAGCAACATTTCTCAGCCTCCGTAATATCCTCGACGCTGCCGTCGATGCTTCCGATGCTATTGTTGTTCTCGTCCACCTCCATGACCGCGGCTTCGGGTAGCGAGGGCCGGTAGACGAGGCCTCGTCGCGCCACGCGGATACTGACCGGGACGGGCGATTGGCTGGAGGGGTTGGGGAGGGGGGAGAGTTGGGCCCTGAGCTGGCTTATCCTTCGCTTATCAGTGTACGACGTTGATAGTGATCATGTTTACTCTTCTTGGCAATTTTCTCGTTCCGCAGATCGAAACGCTGCAAGTCGAAGGGCGGGTTACACGATAAATTTAGATCCGTAGGGTGGATGGCGTAGGGGCGGGGAGCGGAGCTACGATGCCCTTACGACCGTGACGATGATCGCTGGAATGAATGTTCTAACCTGTTTTTTTTTTCTTTTTTTTTTTTTTTTTTTTTTTTTTTTGGGGGGGAGGGGGGGTGTCAGGGAGTCAGGTGAGTGAGGTTATCAGCGCTGTTGTCGTTTGAACAGTGAATTTGGTTATCGGCGATGTTTTGATGAATAATCGAGATGACGAGCACGCGTTTTCAACGGCTTGATTTTGATCGTGACGAATGGTGGTGCGATATGCGTGTTGGTGGGTTTTTTTTTTTTTTTTTTTTTTTTTTTAAACGCGAACTAGCGCCGCCTCAGGCTGTAACACAGATCTTACATGTCGGGCGCTCACTCGAGGACTGTCAACGCGACGTGTATTGCGCTAATGCGTGATCATACAGACATCGAAATTCGACTAATCGAGCTTCAATGCCCATGCGACGCTGCGAATTTTTTTCAATCGAGACTCGCCGAAACTGACGGAAAACTACTTACGCGCAGGACATCGATACAACGTCATCATGTACGCGGCGATCAATCGCGTCACTCACTTCACTCGACATTGTCGCGCGCGCGGCGCGGGCTTCCATTAACATTCCCAAACACCACCCGCAACGAGACTCTACGGCCTTCGCTAAAAATAAGAAGAAAAAGAAGAATGAAGAAACGAAAAAAAAAAAAAAAGAAAAAAAAAAAGAAAAAGAAAGAGAAAAAAGAAAACATCACGCCCAACGCATCGTTAAGTTACATTATCGCGCGTATCCGACTACGCGACGCGCTTTCGAGAAGTGACGCGTGCGCGCGTGCGTGCGCGCGGGTTTGCTCGGGGGCACGCGAGAATACAGATGTAGAAGCGCTTTACAGTCTTGAAACGTGTGCGTAGTGTTTTGTAGCGGGAGGCGGGGGTGAGTCGGGTGGATGATCCTCGCCGTCTATATTGGGTCGGCCACCGGCACGACATCAGTAGTGTATCATTTCACGGGCCCACTCGAAGTGATGGGCCTCGTCAAACTGTTCCGCACTGCCGTTGGGCTTTTGCGCCGTCTCCTGGGGCACGAGCGCGAGATTCGCCCTCAGCAAGTCCTGCAGGTAATCCGAGTCGAGGAGGGGCTGTATCGAGTGGGGTGCGGAGTCCCCGTATCGATCCGACGAGCTCCAGGAGCTCGGCAGGGGCTTGACGTGGCTGGTCGTCATCTCGCGCGACTCGTCCTCACCGAACAGTCGCATCGTCCAGGTGACGACGGCGAAAGTGACGGCGTTCGTGGGAAAGGCGCGGACGATCGTGGAATTGAGACCCCGAACGAGACAGCCGTAGCCCTCGGTCCTAACGGACTTGCGCAGGCAGTCGAGGGCGCCGGAGTAGCGTGCCTCGGTGTCCGCCTGGAGCCGTGACTTCACCACGTCTATCGGGTAGGAGACGATCCAGGAGGCGGTGCCAGCGAGGCCCCCTGCCAGCAACATTTGCCAGGTCGGTAGCAATCGCTGGGAGCCCGTCAGGGCCTCGTACGTCGCAAAGTAGATCCCGTAGCTCGGGGCCTCGCGCAACAGCGTCACACCGAAGCCGCTGAACACACCCCGGAAACCCTTGGCTCTGTGGATCTCGCGGAGACACTGCACCGGCCCGGTAATGCGCTGCTGCTTGACTCCGGGCTGCGCCTTCTGCAGCTGCAAACGCGTCTTCGCAAGCTCGATGGGGCTGCTCACCGGCGTCTGGGCAATGCCCGCGGCGGCCCCCGTCAGGAAGCAACAGACCAAATGGTTATTGGACTCCGCGGACGGTAGGCCCTCCTTCAGCAGCTTCTGGCTCTGACCATAGACCCCGAAGACGATGGAGTTTATCACCGCGACGCCAGCCATTGGTGATGACATCCCGCGGTAGAGGCCGGCCATCTGTTATCGTAGACACATGATCACACATCGAGAGACAGCTGATTATTTTCTCGTGTTAGTGTACTGTTTTCCAATGTAAATGTCATTATAATAATAATAATAATGTGCGGCTCGTCGAACGGGGAGGGGGATTGTCGAGTTTTTTAGCGGAATATCACCTACTGTATTCGTTTATGAAATTATTTTTAATTTTCAGAAGCACCTAATATAGCCATAGAACTGAACTCGATGATTATGGTTGGTATTATATAATTTTAGTATTTTAGTTAGTATTATCTAATTTCCAAATAAACACGAAAAATTGATTCTTTTTTTTTTATTATTTTTTTTTTTTATTTACACTTAATAATCTGCTCTATTGCAATATGTGCACCAATTTTAATGTAAGCTATCGCTATTTTATAATATTTTTTTTCCTTTTTTTGCTTTCTCATTTATTGGATAGTGCGTAACGTAATTGGCAATAGATAAATACAATGCGCATATGTATTATCTTACCGCTGACAATGAAAGTTGAAAATGTTCAATCGGTAATTAAATAAGAACGAAACGATTGACTGAAATTCATAATTTAATATTTGCATTTTAGTGAACGGACGAGAAACGAGCAATGACAGTTCCAACGATACGAATTATAATAAAATTAATCTTTCTACGATCATTAGTAATTGAAAATTTTCAACGAGAGCATTATTAACAATATTTATATTAAAAATAGATCAAAAGTAGTAGTAGTTACGTTCTAATAAACTTCATCCAATCGTAAAAATTGTTTACATTTATTTCAGCAATAATCGCTCTCTATTGAAACTCAGATACGTGCTTTCAAAGAATTTCCTCTAAAACATTGTTACATTTATCTCTGGGACTAATCATTCAGAATATTATATGAATATTAAAGATTTGCGGTGAATTTTATATCCAATGACATAATATGTGGAAAATAAGTTTTCTTTATTATTTTCTCCCGTACAGATTCATGATATTCAAGCAGTTGTTTAACATAAGGGAGCGCGTTATTGCCTATGGACGATCTATGAGTGCATGCATGCGTATTGGTAATGAGGTAAGGTAATGTCTGGTAAAAGCTGTAATAGCGACTTACCGAATCCTGTACGAGGAGAGTCTTAAAGCAGTGCCACGTCCCTCTGTACTTGGGATTTCGATGGTCTTGCGTCTGAATGTGAACCTTGACGGTGTCAAAAGGATGCCCGACCACGATACCCGCGCAGCCTGTATAGCATCGGCAAAGTAAAAAAATTGGTCTTAATGAATGCTTGACCTTGAACTTACGATATCAAGTGCACGAGACGAGAGGTCGCGGCGTCGTCGCAACCCCCCAGGAGCGATAGAGCGCTCGGCAAGTCGGTCGGAATATTTCGGAGCTCGATGATCGAAACTTACCTCCGAGGCACCCAGCCAGGAAGTCGAGCGCCATGCCTGTCCAAGTGCCGTGATAGGTTCGTACCTCTTTGGCCTTGTAACCAGGGACCCGGGCGCCCGCTGCCGTTGATCAACCGCTGTGAAAACTGCGCCCCTCCTCGTCAGCTTGGGATCCATGTAAATTACGAGCCACTGTACCTGCCCCGCACGATCGTTCGACCTTCCCACGGGTAACCAGCGACGGGAATTGTCGCATCAGTGAGAATGGACGTGGCGGCAGGAGTCCAGCCAGTCGGTGAGGAGGCACTTAGCCCCGTTGAAACTTATGGCGACGACACGCAGTCGTGGCTCTTGATTTTCAAAATTCACCCTCATGCTAATTCGCGACTCCCTTAAATCCTTACTTCCTCGGCTCCGCTTATATTGGCTAATTAACGTCCCCGTCGCTGCTCCTATATATCGAGCGCGATCTACAGCCTCCGAAATTTACCGTCTCTCGTGGATTTGAGCGTCCGCCCGTACGTCTGTCCGTGCAATTTTCACCGATTCTATATCGACTTCTCAGTGCGGACTAGGGATCGTCTGATTCCCGCACGTCGGACTTGTCGGAGCAAAGATCATCGTGTATTATCTGCTCGCCAGAACGTACATGCGCGTCAATAGAGGGAAATCACAAACACGGATACGCACGCCTGTCTATGTCGTTCTGGGGTGAGCTGCTGGGAAGAACTTGGTTACAATAATTTTCATATATACATGTGCGAACGTATTATTACCATGACCTAGTGCTTTGGTGGGGATGAGACGCGGGTCAAACGCTGCCGAAGAAGATGATAAGGGAATATCTTACGACGAGGCAATAAACGCAACGCCGAAAGAAGCAATCATGTTCTCGCCGCCGATCTCTTCCGACGTTGACGGTTCAGCGCAAAAAGCGAACGAGAGCTTCGGCGTAAAAATCGTTTTTTTTTTTTCTTCTCTTTCTTCTTCTCTTTTTCTTTTTGGCGAGCTTCTAATACCCCAATGTGAATCTCTTTATCCGGCTTGCTTTAACAACTTGCATTACTCGATGGGGGAGCAAATTTCATTAGTAATTACATTTTATTATCAAAAGAAAGTTTCTCTGTTGATCCTCCCATATTGACAAATGAAAGCTAAAAATATATATGTAAAATTCGCAATCCAAGCTCACATTCATAATTATACTAAATAGTGAATATCGATTTAAGACATTCGATCTCAATTGATAATGAAAAATAAGATTAGAAAAATGATTGACTTTATCTTTGTACATGAAAATATACATGGACAATATTGCAGTAGTGAAATTCAAAGAAAATCTTGGCGAGTCGTAATATTTGCTCATTGCACAAACTTCATACGTATACTAAGAAAAGAATGCGTAACTATTACTGAGATTCTTGTAGAAAAGAGGGATAAGTAATTATATTAATTATTTGACGCATATTAAAATATCATATTTGCATGTTGATTGTAGACTTTTTGTTGTCACTTATTAATCGTTGATTGAAAAACATTAGATCGAGCGTATCATAATAACAAAAAAAGTAAGTGAAGTACTTTTATAAATGTTGAAAAATTTTAGCACGATGGAAAATCTAAACGTCCAAAGTAAATTCTTTCACTATATATTTTGAGTGGCATTTACATATGTAATTATTTTATTTCTCTCTAAGCACAGTTCGTACAAATATGAAAATGTAATTAAACGTATCAGAGTCACAATTGTTGTTGTCGTATCGATTATGTCAATATAAATTTGAGAACAATGAAGCGTCTGTTTATCGTTAATTATTAAAAAATTTTTAAAAATGTATTACAATGTATCTTGCGCTTATATAAGCATTCTCTACATTGCGCTACTTAATATATCTTGAATTAGTTTTAATTATCGAATTTAATTAAACGACGAATCGTCATTTGTTCGTCATAACTTTCTACGGATGTACGTTGGATTGTAAGAATTTTTCAGAAAAATTATAAAGCAAGTATCGATAACAGAATTTTACCATTAAATGTCATAACATCGATCGTATTAATAATTTTATAATTTTATAAAAAAAAAAAAAAAAAAACTAACAAAATTGCAATTATTATTTCTAAATATGATATTGAAAAAACGATCGTTTTAAAAAAACTTGGAATATTTTAAAATAAAATGTGACTGAGTTTTCTAGGTAATGAATAATCGTTAAGAGAATTTTGAATATCGACTGCTGGTAAAACAATTTCCTGTTTCGTACGTAATCTCATTATGTCCATTTTCCTTTAATTTAACTTTTCAATAATAACAGTAATACAAACAATTTGTATGGATGTTGAAAAAAAGATATAACGGCATGACAATGAGAATTATTCCATTTCAAAATATCAATATTAATGTTGTGAAAAAGACGCTTAATGAATATGATGGCTGGGAATATTATCATTGTATTATATAAAATAGCTTTGATCATAGATTTTGAATACAATACGACTCGGTATTTCCTACTAGTCAACAAATTCATAAGTAAATCCTTGTATTTTGTATTTATAACAGATACCATAATTATTAAAAATGTTACATTTCGTTACATTTATTCATTCCGTAAAGACGTAACTTCCGTGCTAATTGATTTAATATAAAAACTACACAGTAAAGTGTCTATATTAAAAAATGTTCCGTTATCATATTAATTTATAGAATTAAGGCAAAATCTAACGTTTATCTAATAGTGTAATATTTTACGAGTTTGTGAAACGTCAAATAAATCTTCGATTGTTGAGTAGTCCATATTATTTCATACTTATTTTTATTCTGTAAATTAAGCGTCAGCAAACATCTTCATTCAATTACTAATTTTTTCCTTATTTTCTATTGTTAAAACTGACCAATACCTAAATAGTGAATCATACGTCGCAATTGGGCTTAATAAATGAAATTGATTAAATGAAATTATAAACTTTGAGTAATTTTCATTGTTTAATACATTCAAATAAAGTAGCAATTACTAAGACGTAATATAAATAAATATTTGTACAGTTATAGTGTGCGAATTAACGATTAAGTGCGATTGTTGTATGTATTTGAAAAGATACATTAATGGCATTACCAAATGGCCGTTACCAAAAGCATTATAATAACAGAGATAAATATTGATAAATATAGAAAATAAAGGAAAAAAATAATTAATTTTCTCTATCATTTTACTTCATACAGTTTTGTATGAAACTGTTATCATTGCCTTATCCTTAAGTACATCCTGACAGTACAATTGATAAATTGTCAAATTTGATTAATTATGAATTATTTACGTATAAATAAAATTGATTGCATAATAATGAAAGAATTAATAATAATAATATTATTATTATTAGACCTAAGATAATAATAATGTGAAGAATACTAATAATTTGAGATATTAATAGTTATGTTAGAAGCATGTTTATTTATCCAACAGAAATGATTTAAATTGGAATTATGATAATCTTCTAGTACTGCAAGTATAGCGATATAAATACTTTGGTTAATGCAAAATTTGAAAATTACAATGACTTTGCAACGAAAAGCTTTATCGTTCGTTGCACAACGTCCTCAAGTATTTATAAAACAATAAATGGGCGCCAAAAAACCAAAAAAGCCTAGCGATAAATAAGTTTAAACAAGCAAAAAAAAAAGAATAAAAGGATTCTGTCTAAAAGAACTTGTTTGAAAGAATTTCGTAATTTGGCATTAATCGAATCGTTAAATTAGTTTTCTGAAATAAATATCATTAATTTACGATGTATGGTATAATGATATGATGGTATGATGGTATGATGGTATGATGGTATGTATGATAAGGCCACCTTGAAAAATTCAGTTATATAAATTCGATTATTCAATTTCGTTTTTCTTTTCGTTATAAAGCAAACTAAACTAGCGAAGGTATCGATGTTGCAGATATTATTTGTTTTATAAATAAAAGCAATGCTTATACATAATGCTCAAGTGTATTTGACTGATTGTTTTTTGCTTTATTGAAGCATTATATATTTAAGAGCATTGTTGTATAAAAATAACACGAGATTAATATAATTTTGCGACGTAGAATTAAAATAATGGAGAATTCCAATTCAAGTTGGAGATATTTCAATCGACAAGTCATTTGAGAATTACAGGCGAATTTCGTATTAATTTGAATTTGATAAGACATTTATATTTCGCAAAGGCCAAGTAGAATTGTTCCTTTGTCGCACGATATTTTACAACTAAAACAAAATAATTTCAAAATACAATTACATTGTACGTATTCGTAATATGCGCAAAAAAAAAAAAATAGAAATGATAAAATAAAAGTATCGAAGCATAATTTTCATATCTATTATATTACGTGTAATAAAAAAACACAAACGAACAAACAAACAAACAAAGAAACAAATATCACTACTCATTCGGTTCAGTTGATAATTTTTTCTTGGACTTTAAACAAAGTATGTAAAAAAAAAAAAAAAAAAAAAAAATAATAACATAAATGCTTTGAATAAATAAATAAAAGCGCTCCGAATAACTTGAATACTTTTAAATAATTCAACTTGGAATGTTTCGATATTGTACATAAAAATATCATTAAGTAACCCTTTGTCGTCGAGTCTGAAAACGTTAATATTTCGTTATTAATGGATTATGCTTCGCGTTACTTTGAACTTGAAAAGCTCGCAAAAATAACAGTGAAAACAGATTTAGACGAATGTTTTTAAAAATATTTTGAATAAATGGGATAAGAGCCATCGTCGCCTCGAATGTAGTTTAATAAAAAAATTTACAGCTGCCAAAGAAGCGATGTAAAAAATGTGTGAATTTGACCGTCGACCGGGGCATTGACGTTAGATTCGTTAAACGTGGTTTAAATTTATAAAAAATTATTTTTAAAATGTGCAATACAATAAAATGCACACGTCCATGGGTTTCGGAACGAACGGGCGACGAATACAAAACAGATGTTACGACATTGTATTCGTATTTTCTTTCGTCGAATTAATGTTTCCGCTAATAATTCTCTAATAAGCTCGCAATAGTCTGTTCAATTGAACGAATACACAGTAAATATTGTTTTGCAATAGTCCACTGGTTCCGGCAGATAAGTATAATAATTATATAAGATATACATAATTGGCAATTAAAAGAAAAATTTTGAAACGAAGTTCTGCCGAGACGACGACGAAGATCGTCATTAGCTGATACATAATAATGAAATAATACGCCAACAGCAGTGGGAATAAAGAATTCCAATAGCTTGATAATATCGGAGCTGCTTGGGCCTTTTTACGTTTCTCCCTAGCTCCAATAGTCGTCGACCGGATGGATCGTCGGATTTTTACATCGGCTTTTCCTCTTGAGAGGCGTGCACGATTTACGAATAATACGGTTTACATAATTGATCGAATGTGCGAAGTCAACGACTTTGGATAAGCAAACACTGTCTAGGCATCCCGCAGCAGCCATTGGAAATTAAGTGTCGGGGAGATCGTGGTTGTCGCGTTGGCGGTAGGGCGGGAGGAGAATCGGAAGCGAATGTTGGGATCACGCATCCACCGTGTGAAAAATGTAAGAAAAAAAACGGGTGATTAAGAGAGTAACTTAAGCCACGCGCGTGCAAGTTGTTCACCGAGTCAAAATCACCGCCGACAATCTATATATATAAAGTCGTTGGCGGCGCGGTGGCGGCGGCCTGCCAATAATAGCAGCTCGGCCGGCAGATGGGGCGCGCGACGCCTCGCCGTCGGTCTCAACGATCCCTCCGGGCATCGATCGTTCGGGGCGCGCGGGGGCGGCATCCCCGGGCCGCCCGGCAGGTGTCAGGGCGGAGCCGGAGATCGCGGGTGCGCAGCCTCGATCCGCTCAGTCAGTCAGCTGGATAGCTTCGCTAAATATATAACGCGGTCGCTGCGGGAAGGGCCGCCGCTTCCGGAGCTTGCAGCTTCTTTTATGGGCACGCCGAGGGCTCGCCGGGGCACGTGCAGGTATTGGCCTAAGCGAGACTCCTCCTTATGGCTTCCCCGAGGAAGACGAGAGCGTACTTGTAGCTGGTCGGTTGGTTCACGGTGGCGTGGTGACAGTGGTGTGTGCGTGCATGCGCTAGGGTGGCTGGGTAATCGTGAGCGGGGCGGGGGTTGACGAGGTGGTAGTGGTGGTAGTGCTGCTGCTGCTGCTGCTGCTGCTGCTGCTGCTGCTGCTGCTGCTGCTGCTGGTGGTAGTGGTGGTGGTTGACGAGGGGAGCTGATAAAGGAGATAAAGGACTATCCGGGAGGAGCTTTTCGTGAAACTGCGACGAAACGTTGGCTCCTGACCGACGACGCTGTCCCGAAATCTTTCCTTCGAGCCTCGAGCCTATAAACAAAACACCGTGTCGGTTATGCAATGTGAGCCGTAAGAGTCGTCGTGTGCGTGTTGTAAGCCGAGTCGAGGAACGTTATTTTATTAAATTCGGTACTCGGTAAACGCGAAGCTCGTGAATAATCGTCGCGGTGAATTATCGGGGCATCCTCCTATTAAAATCTGCCCCACGTGCTTGTTTAAGCATTTATCGGATATTCCGATCGAGTGATTTTTACAGTTTGAATACGTTTAATAAGCGCGCTGGTGATAAAAGTTCGCTTTGTCCGTTACGACTTGGCCGCGCTTAATTGTACATCGCCGATTGTTCTCGAGGAAATTAATGTAAGGCGAGGACGAGGAATGCAAGGAGTAGAAGAGCCCATGCGTTATGCCTATTGTTCTCCGCTTGGAATTCTTTGCTCTCGATCGGCTTGTTTGCATCGGCAAACAAAGCGGACTACTCTTTCTGACGCAATGATCGATAATCCTTCGACATACGACTATACCATCGCTTGGGAACTTGTCGCGCGTGGATCAACCCACACGTGACGTCGAAGCCGCTGTTGGATAATTTTTCGTTATACGCTAGTCTCGCGATTAAAGGTGATTATTTAACACTTGATATTTGCAACTTTGCGCATCCATGGGATCGGTAACACATGTTAATGCAAATGTTGGTCTTTTTGAGTCACTATTGGTGTAACAGGTGGATGATACGTGACGTCGTGTCGGTGAAAGCCGTGCCAACGAGCGGGGAGACGATGATTCGAACTTTCGGGATGCGTACAAAAAACTTGAGCGACGAGCGTGAACTATTTATGTATTAATAAACGTAAAATGATTTTAGGAAAATTATTCGAAAAAAAAACAAGCGATTACATGCTCGTGCAATTGAATGTCGGCCAACATTCTAAACGATGCATTACATACCTTAATGATATTATTAATTCCGGTGAATAATTTTTGACAGTAAATTAACGCGTTCTTTGATTTCGTTTAATTTTTAGCTTCGCCATAATCACTTTATCCCGCTGAGGCGTTGGAATCCTTCGAAATGAGTAATCCAAAGTCAGATGGGCGCTTACCGGCTATACCGAACGATATTATAACATCGTCGAGCTCGCAGCCCTTCATTCAACAAGATCAACAGGTCTGCATTATTCGTAAAAATCCTATAATATGCATCGTGTTATTGACTATGCAAGTAGCCACTAATATTTGCAAGAATTTTCACCGAATTGCATTGCCGTCGCTTACTACATACGTACGTACGCAATGACAGATTGAGCATAAAGGAAAAAAGTAGCCTTATACAATTTCGTTATATTTTTTTAGGCTCATCCCCCTCCTCTCTCCCCCACGCCCGTCACCCAAACAATTGTTGCCATTATATTAATGCATTGCTTTATACACTGCGGTCGCTTATATCGAAACGCCATTAAATCTCTATTTTATGTGAGGAAAAAAAAAATAGTCGAATGACGCAATGTAGCCTTAAGTGCCTTTGATGCTAAATAAATAATAAACGACTTGAATAATGAGTATAAATCAAAGGAGGATCAATTTTTATTTCGGATGTAGCATAACAAATTTTACGACAATTCTAGTCGCTTATGGTTATTCTCTTTCGAGATTACCGAAACTATTTTCTTTTTCATTTCAATCATTAACGATAACGTATTGCTCGTGAAAAAAGCAAGCCGAACACATCGAAACTCTCACCGTGTTCACCTCATGCTTTAATGTTTGTTGCTGTCGATTGTACACGACATTCGTGTCAACAAGAGCACATTATGCTTTAATCGTAATAAACTGTTATTACGTAGCAAACGTTTTACAAATGTCACACGCTACAATATAATAAGACACGTGCGATGAATGTTCCGTTCACTTGCCATGTAATATGATTTTTTAACAATTTTTTTTTTTTACGCGAATGCGTTTTTAAGGAGTACGTTGTGCCATTAGCATTTTTTTTTTTTCATTAATAAAAAGTTAAATAATTACATATCGTATTGTACGAATAATTAAAAAATATACGCAATATTAAAACAGTCTCTTCGTATACATTCAATATAAATATATTGACAGAATATTGATGCTTTGTCGGCCATTATTTCTCGTTTTTTTTTTTTGGCTTAAAAAATTACAATTGTCGAATGTCGTTAGACGCATAAAATAAGTAATTACGCGAAATAAAAAAATTATACGAGGCTGAAAGATCTGACGACGTGACTGCTGTGCTTTGTAAAAGTCGATACCAATGCTATCGACCTTCCCCTACAAAACTTTTTGCCATTTGAATAACAATACGGCGCGAGTGTTCAAAGATTTCGTCGAAGCTAAAGCAGATAATGCGATAAATTAACAATAAAGTTGTATCGAACACTTATTGGTAAATTCAATTATTTGCTTATTCTAAAGTGGAACTGGTCTTAAATTAACATTTATTTCTGTGATAATTGTAAAACTGACATTAAGTTGACATTAACGTTTATCACGTAGTGAAACATAAATATAGAACGCATATGCACCTCGATACATAGATGGAAATTTACATAAAATATCGTAATTAATTTACTACACTTTTGTGTGCGTGCGCGTGTGCGCGTGTGTGCGCGCGCGTGCGCGTATATATGCATATACGTATGGATATATCTCATTACTTACATACAGGACTAATAGAGGTCAAATACTAATTCCCTGATTCACCAAGTTACATGTTGCGCTGAGAATTCGGAATTAAAATTTATTTAAACTATTTGTAAATTAAAAAACGTAATTTAAATTTTAAAGTAAATTAAATTTAATCGGCTTGTCATATTAGTCGATTAAAGCCTATGGAATATTCACATTTTTTTTCTCCCTAAGCCAATCGGCAGTAATTCAAAAGTAATTTATTCAAATTTATTCAATATTTATTAATATAATTAATTATTGAAGATACCAATGTTTTTATCTTATTTTTTAAACCTCAATTAACACTGTTTATATTTAAGATTTTTAAAATATACGATACGATATATAAATATACGATTTAAATTATAAATTTATTCAAAGTTGTTGTTTCAGTTGTTTTTTTATTTTTAATTTTATATTAGTAAAGGAATTTAAGGAATTCTTACAAATGGTTTTTAAAAGCAAAAATATTTAAGAAAAATAATTTATTTCTATGCTCGCGTATAACATTAGTTTACAAAAAGTTTTAATAATTTATGTTAATTAATGGATAATTTTGCAGCGCCTTCGTCAACAATTAACGATAGAAACCGAAAATTAAGAAAATATCTAAAAACGATCTTAACATTGAAAAACTTGACAACGATACGGCAACTTTGGCAAATTAGATGTTTTTCTATACTTTTTATATAATCTTTTGCCGTTCTATCGCTGAAATCGTAATATTTACGTTGTACGTGCACCCATGTATTATCAATCTGTTTCGATTCAATTTCAAATGCAATCCTCTAATCCCTATCTAATATCCCAATAAATCAACATGAAAACAGAAATAAGGACAAAAGCGCGTGTCCTACATTTTATAAGAAAACTGGTATTATGTACGTACGTATGTAAATTTGCTCTCCGAGGCAGCAGACTTTTGCTTTTGCGCATCGCGAATTCTAAAAAATTTACTTAAATTCGGGAAGAATGACCAATTAATTGTCCCTCCCGGCAATCGAGATCAATCGAGACGATCGGAAATTCTTGCTCTAAGCGAATTCGCTAAGCGCGCGCAACTTAAATCGCACGATATATGTTCTCATTAAACGGCGAAAAATGCAACGTTCGACGCGTGACGAAGGACGAGGAAACGTCGGACTGTCCACTCTTGACCCCGAGCCCACCACCGGACCAGGCGCAGAATTCCTTGGACAATCCAACCACATTCATACGCCGTAACGACTCGTCGACGCTGCTGGACCAGACGCTCAACAACATCAATAGCGAGGACGGCCTAACATTCTTAAATATTGTCAATAGTTCGTGTAAGCCGATGCACGATGGTAAGTGCACTTGGCTTCAGCCCTTTTTCATTCATATTTCTCATGCAACATAATCCAACCAACAGACTCTCGATCCTTTGATTTGCTATTTGATTTCATATTGTCATCCAATTTTTTTTCTTTTTTTTCTTTTTGTAATAATAGGCAGTCTCATTGGCTTGAGACACCTGCAATAAGGAGCTTGGAAAGTGGGTTATTAACTTGGCGCTGCCTAGGATTACTATAAATTTTTATAATTATTATCCTTGATTGTCTGGAACTTCGTCACCTACCTTATGCTCTATCGTAAAATATTGATTATCACGGGGATTTATCGAAACGCGTGGGTATGCGAAAATATTATATTTTCTCGTATTATTGCAATACGATCGTATATTTATTTACATTTTACTAGATACACGGAGTGAATAGGTAGGGAAGAATTAATTGTCGATTGTTTAAAACTTATCGTGAGCTTTCTTAAATTACGTACTGTGGAAGCAAGCTACCAAGATTAAAAACTTTATATATTAAGAAAAAGTTCATTTTCCAATGATTTCTTAATATTTCCAAAAAAAAAAAAACAAAAAAAAAAAAGCTTTTAAAGCTCTATATGTAACAATATTCGTTGTCAATAGTATCAATTTCAATAAAAATCTCCGTTTTACCATTTAAAAACGATACGTTAAATTAAAATTTCTTCCCCCCCCCTCCCCCTCTTCATTCTAACAAATTATTCTAATAAATAAAAGAAAATATTTTTATTACTTATTGAAAATCAACCTTTGACTATTGTTGTACATACGTATGCCGAATAAAAGTTAATCCTAGTAATTTTTGTTTCCACATACTTCTGAGAATCTCTAATTATAAAAATCCTAGCTGTCCTAAAAACTACGTTAATTGCATTAAAATAAACAATTTTTGTATATATAATAAGTGTAAGTTATAATTATTATTTTATTTAATTTTTTTTTTTTTTTTTAATAGAGCATATTATTTAAAATGACTGTAATGATAAAAAGATATCGAAATCAGCTTAATTTACATGGCTTTTACATAGAGTGTTGATTAAAAATTTCTAATCATTAAATTTTCATGTTTTTACCTGGTTTAATGGTAAATGTTACTTTATACGTGTTGCCTGATTTTTACATGAAAAATTTTTTTTTCAAACGATTGATTACGAATGTCGTATTGGTGATAATGGAATAGGAAGGGACTCGAATAAGCCAATGATGATGTTTTGTATCTTTCATTGATTCATCAATTAATTCCGTTTAATAACCTTTCCTTAATAACGTTCAATAAAGGCTTGTTAGAAATAATTTTGAAGAATAATATCCAAGCTTCATTCAATAAAATTCATTAACAACGATTCTAACTGTTTAAAGAATAAAAAGCTATTTTATGTATCGCGATGATATATAGCTCCAACAGTATTGTAATGCAATGGGTCTCAAAATCATTGGATTTTATTAATATACGAGTCAATTGAATAATGCTTTTATCACGAAAATACGAGCTATGAGACCAACGGCCTTTAATAATATCACGAAATAATTTTTTCATTATGCATAAACAACGAAATGCGACTACAGAACCAAGTTCGCGAGATCCAATGGTCGAAACGAGCAGCAATAGTGGCAGCAGCAGCGATACAAATGAGCCAGTTTGTACGCAACTTCTTACCCAATTAAACACCGCATATACTCATTTAGCTCCGGATGCACAAGCATTGGTAAGATCTTTGTACTCGCACATTTGTAATACATGAATTAAAAGTGAAAGATGCGATAATATGGTACGCGTTTGTAATATGAAGCCGACCTGGTCGTTTTTTTTTCTTTGGTTTATTATTTTTTTCTTCTTCTTTTTTTCTCATCTCGTGGTGCACGTTGCATTCTTTTTTTTTTTTTTTTTTTTTTTTTTACATTTTGTTTATATTGCATAGATAAACATAAATACAAGTTAAATATAATGCCTAATTAAAATAGTCTTTGCCAGATAATGTGTAGAGGTGCCAACATGCTTCTCGTGATAATTTATTTACGTCCTTCCTTGTAATTGATTAGTGACTGTCAGTCAAATCATGGCCGATAACTAATATTTATTTTAAGACTACATCAATGTATTGGTTATTGAAACAATTTGAAGATATATATATATATATATATATATATATATATATGTAATAAGAATTTGTAATTGTACAACGAGAGATATTAAATATTTAGATGAGCATGTCGATGATTTTGTATTTATATTCAGCTTTACCGAAAATCGATTAACACAAATATTCAATCTTTCAATCTTTTAATTTTTACAATATATTACAATTAATATATTTAAAATGAAACAAGAAATACTTGTTGTTTCTTAAAGTTCATTCTAACAAGACTTGGCAGCTTCGTGATATTGCAAGTATCATTGTTACGTCGATGATATTACAATAATACTTTACGGAACAATTAAGCGTTTTACACATGTTATGAATATATTGAATTGAAGTTAATATTTCACTTACCCAAGCATTCAAGATTTATTTCCTATCTTTCAAAATACTCGAAATAAATCTACAAGTGTCAACAGTGAAAAGAATGAGATTAAAAAACAAAAAAAAAAACAAAAAATTAGTAACGGTATATACATAATAAATTATTGTAATTGTCGTTGCTGTTGATATTATTATTATCGTTCATTATTATGCCAATAGTGTTGATTGAATTTTGAAGTATAACTTGAATATAGGTAGATATTTGTATAAAATTGTACAAAAAATCATGTTGAATACTGTTTAGTAAAAAAAAAAAATTGATATAAATGTATGTGACGTATTTGTCAACGTATGTTACAACTTTACTTTTGTCTGTCTAGTTTTACAATCAAGAGAATGGGGGTAAGCCACCACTTACTGGTATACACTTGGTTGTACCGAAGCCGCCTAAAAATTACAATTTTATGAGTTGGAACTGGCCGATTATACGAAAAACATTTTTTTGGTCACTAATGTCAATATTTGCTGGATGCATTGCACTTGCTATTGGTGTTATAGCAACAATGCCTAAAAGGTATTTGATTAATGCTATTGATCATTTGTATGAAAAATTGATACTAATCGGTACAAGCACGTGTAATGATGTTGAATTAATAATAATTAATTATGAATTATAATTATAAAATTGACAAAAACAATTATCATTAATGGGAATTTTTCATTAGAATTAACTTATTTATAATATTTATATACGTATATAAGACCGTTTTAATTATTATTTGCTTATTATATATCGGCACTAAAAATACCTAGGTCATTTTGCATATATAGAAGATTAAAATTCTTTAAAGAAATTTATTTGCCGTTTAGAAAACTTTATTGGGTAATATATATATATGATTACATTTTCGTATAAATAGCCGAGAAAAAAAAAATTATTGTTAGTATATTATCAATACGATAGGATTTATCTCATCCTATCCGTCAATCGACAATGAATTTCAATACATCAATTTATAATTAACCTATTTGACTAATCTGAAAATTAATTTCCTTTTATAATTAAGATGCGACCCCGCAGTGGAATGGTGGCAAGGCAGTTTATTTTATGAAATATTTCCAGCTTCGTTCGAAGACTCTTATAAAAATGATGGAATCGGGGATTTACGTGGCATAATTAATCGATTAGATTATTTAGACAATCTCGGCGTGAAAGGGATTCGATTGAATTCCATATTTTTATCTAAACAGTATCCTCAACAATACATGAATATCGAAAGCCTGACAGAAGTTGAGCCGACTCTCGGGACCTTGGCAGACTTCGATGACCTGGTAACGGCTATTCACAAAAGAAATATGGCTGTAATTTTGGATCTGCCGCTTTATCCTTTTGTCAAAAGTCTAGGCGACGAAATTCCAGATAGCAACGCCACTCGAGCGCCGAATCACCAGAAAGCAGACCAAGTCGCAACATTGATCGCCCTGCCCTCGCATCGTAAAACACTAGAAACATTGCAGATCGCTTCAGTTGAGGGGATTACAAACATCGAGGGATTTAATGTTACGGATAACGACTCCACTGTCGATTTTGTCCCAAGTAACGAAGTTACCAAGGCCATCGACTTTTGGCAAAAGAGAAAAGTCGACGGCTTTTACCTTAAAGGTCTCGAGTATTACACCAATAATACGAATTTCGTAACATCATTAAGGCATTTCAAGTCAATTTTAGGCCCAAATAAGATTCTTATGTGCAGTGAGAAGGCGCTTTCGAGTGCCACGGGTGATTCCCGGAATGCAATATTAAACAGAATGGATCTAGTAGATGTGATTCTCGATGTGGCAAACGGCACGAGAAACATTAAGGATCAAGTGTCGAAGATACAAAAGGGCCTATTGTTTCAGAAAGCCGGTTATCCGTGGGTGCACTGGTCCACCGGGAGCGTGGATACTCCTCGATTGGCCTCGACATTACAAGTTGCGAATGCCAGTCTCGCGGTGTCGTTAATGGGAATGATGCTGCCTGGTACGCCCAGCGTTTTTTACGGCGATGAGGTAACGCTAAGGTTTATTTACTATTTTTAATGCTACCGGGTCCACCCGAATGCCATAAATAATCGATTTCATTACAAATAATTATCAATGTTATTGAACTCCTTATGTGAGCGTGAAAGTTAATTATACAAGGCGACATATAAGTGTGGGTAAAATTTTTTTTCATCGCCTAACAATCGAACAATTCGAACAATCGAAAAGCATCGATAGCGTCGAATGCATAGTTTTTATCTTTTTTTCTCGCGCATCCGCGTGTATATAATTTTTACAGTAATAATTATCTGGAGTTATATAGTTGATGTCTGTTTGATTTTTTTTTTCTCCTAATTTCTTATAGATATAAACTATCAAATTTACATAACAAATACTTATATGAATATATTAGAAACGAATGATTTGAAATAAGATATTGAAAATGGCTAATTTACATTATTGCTCAGCTAAGCATTACATTCTATACAATTAATTCTGAAAATATAGATTGGGCTGCTCAATTCGAATAGTAAAAAATACTCGCATCTCTCTCATCTATACAATTTAGTACCTATGATTTGGGATAATCAAAATAGCATTGATGAAACGTTGCCCAAGTATTTAATTGTACCATGGATGCCGGAATCTGATAAACCAGCCACGACTAATTTAACCGGACTTTTACCTAATATGGCCAAATTACGCTCGGAGACGACGCCTATTTACGTTAAAGCTGTACTTAAAAATGAGGAACCAATGGCAAATAGTGATATTCGGTAAGTATTATAAGCTATTGTGACGTATAAAAATAAATTAGAAAATGTTTATTATAATTTGTATTGATAAAATTGATTAAATACACTGGTGCTTAAAAATTATTGTTATTGTTGTTGTTTTTGTTGTTGTTGTTGTTGTTGTTGTTATTATTATTGTTGTTGTTGTTGTTGTTGTTGTTGTTGTTGTTGTTGTTGTTATTATTATTATTATTATTATTATTATTATTATTATTGATTATTAATTACCGCGCATTATATAAATAATATTTTTACAGGTATACGGGAAACGATATGATTGTTATCGAGAGGTGGTACCCACGAAGAAATACGTACGTATTTGTGGCGAATTTTGGCATGCGCACTCAAACGAAAGATTTATCATCGTTATATTATGGAGGCCATGTAGTAGTTGGACCCGAGCACAAACTTAATCGAAATATATACTTTAAGGAATTGATCATTCCTCCTGGCGAAGCCTTTATTATAAAACTCGACAAATGAAGACTTAGAAAAGAATCTGAGTAAACGTGGAGGATCCTATTTTAAGCTCCGTGACATAAGGCCAACATACCGTTTATTTTTATGTGTTATAGTCATAATGTCTGCAGCAGTGACTCTTAAGTAATGATACGATATATTTATTGAAAATTCGAAATCTGAATCGAAAAAGGAGCCAAACAAATGTGAAAGTTTACTTAAATACGAAAAAACATCAATGTTGTATTTCTATGTTTATTTATATATATATTTTTTTTTTATTATTTTTTTTAAATTATTTATAATTGTCTTTTATTCATTTGGATGCATTGTACAAGTTTTATTATGCATGTGTGCATATTTTCTGTGATGTTGAAGGAAACAAACACATTTTTTCTTAATCATATACGTGTGCACGCAAAATATAGAAAAACTTATTTTAAAGTAAATCTATTGATATTGATAGCTGTAATAGTATTTATTATAAGCGTTTGAAATAATCGTGCAGGGCTGAAGTATTAATCTAATCATACTTAAGTGTTTATTATGATTACTGGCATACTGTAAGTGCCATGTTTTAATTATTTTAATTATACAGTTGGATAGTACATGGCGTACATCGAGTTATATGCATATTTTATTTTGAATTTTTTGGTTCTTATATTAAAAATATACACCATTTGTTTGTTAAAATCAATTAATAATTTTATATACAATAACGAATAACGTTTTTTTTTTTGTTTTTTTTTTTCTTTCTTTCTAATATTGACAGTATTGTATATAGCCACTTTCCGTGCAATTGCAAATTTCAAATTTATTCGAAAACTTCATTTACTTTGTGAACGAAGTATTCTGAATCGACTCTATATAATGGATAAAAAAAATTTTTAATTAAATCTCGATAATATTAATGGATTAGAAGGAATTAACCATATAATATTCAAAAATTCAATTGAATCGTAAAACAGAGTTTATTCTTCGAAGTATTATTTTATTATAGTACTTTTTATAGGAAATTTGTTAATTGCAGATAATTTTGTGGTAGCATTAATTTAAACATTGGAGATAATTTTTTGTAAATAACAACAAAATAAGCTAATACGTACAAATTTATTTTGCCGTTAAAAATTAAACAATACATCTAAGTAGAATACAATAGTAAATTACAGAAATGTAAGTAACTGAAACATTTGTTTAATATATCATTGATCATAAAATAATTAAACCATAATTTACCATAATTTTTTTTAATATTTGTGAAGCTTTGGATTCGAATCATTTACATCGAGCCGAAAGATAATTTTATAATCATATACATTTATGTTTTTTTATAGAATTTTATTTCTTCCTTTACAACTTGTAAGGTATAAAAAATTTGTAGAAAAAGTATAGAAAAGTACCGTTTTTATCGGAGGTATTTTTACTAAAGTATTATGAATAACAAAGAATAAAATTACTTAATAGAGTTTGACAGCAGAGGCAACTAAATATGTATTTCGATCGTTGAAATATTCATTACTATTTAATATTATAAAATTTCTTTCTTCAATAATTTCTGCATCGTTGTTGTGTAAAATATATGATTATGCAATATAATATTTCTTATTAAGAATACCATCATGTCCAATATAAATAATTTATTTCTGAGTGATTAAGTACTTGACTATATGAATGGAAATATGCGTCTTTAGAATTTTTGTTAAACAGTTACTTGATTTAAGACATTTATCATGTTTAGAACTTAATAAAAATGAAATTATTTCCTTTTGAAAATCTTTCACACTTTTAAGTGGATTATACAGTTTAACTGATGGAAAGTATTAAAACATCGATGAATCTCAATTAAATAAATATGAACAATTTTGAGCTCCAAAAATAGAAGTTATACTGAAGAAAATCGTACAACTCGCCCAATTAAATGAATAATATTTTCAAGTATTGTATAATTTATTATTTATTTTCACGAATAAATGATGTAAGAGGATAGATTAGAACTTAGATCGTGAAATATTTAAAAAAACAAAAGTACATGTTATCAATATCGAACAACAATGTATGTAAATCATAAAGGTAGCATTATTTCCTGGAAAAAAAAAATGTATAAATTGTATTTTTGAAGATTGCCATATTGAAAACGAAGATAATGCTTTTATATATATAAAAAAAAAAGTATATTAATATACAGTTTATGAAAAATAATTAAATATAGCATGTAGAAATATTGCCGAGAGAAATTTTATATTAAATCGCGATTTCAACAATATGATTTTGATAATTATAAAAATGATTTTTTGTACAGAAAAATTATACATATATATGTATTAAAAAATTTAAAGTTAAAAAATCCATTCAAAAGTCAGAATTAATTGGACAAATAGAATGTATAATTATAAAATAATGCATAAAAAATATTGATATGTAAAAAATATGATTGTAATTCATCAAATATAATTGTGTTTATTATATAATGTAAGTTCAGCAATTTTACATGTATGCAGGTTGTCATATATATATATATATATATATATATATATATATATATATACACATACATACATACATAGAGATGAATGTTTCTTATAAATATCTTGAGTTATATGAGAATAGTTGGTAGTTTTTACTTAATTAAACAAATAAATGAATTGTTTAATACTTAAAAATATATTATATAGTAGCGTTAAATTTCGAGAGGGAAAAATTAATCTCTACAGCAGTTATTCTAAAATACTGTAAATCATTATTATTGATGTGTAAGCAAGTAATTTATGTAAATGGAATTGTAACTATATTGTGATTAATTCAAATGTTCGTTCCTATATATTTTTAAAATAGATCAAATGAAAAGTTATATATGTACAAGACAGTTTCAAATTATTTGAAAATATTTTTTAAACAATCATGAAATTATTTTTACAAAATAAATGTTTTTTAATCTACAGATTTTAAAGTGGTTGATTATATGATTATTTGTGTCTAAACCAATATTGAATCTCACCATTTTCAATCATTCGCCATAAATCCATTTTATATACGTCAAACATTAAATAATAAACAAAGGCTCGTACAATTTTAATCGTATTTATTTGTAATTTGTTTTTAAGAATTATTGTCTTACATATTATTTTCAAAGTAAAATTTTTAGAAGAGATCTGTTGCGAATCGTCCTACGTAAAAAAATATTTCAAATAGATTTAATGAAGTAAATGTATCATAAAATATATCGTTTATGTCAGTCCTCTTTTTGATTCAATCGAACCGCATTCTTCATATTTCTAAATATTGTAAAAATGGAAGAAAGTCCTTAATTTTTCCTCACTTTTCTCTCAAAGCTCTGAAACATATAAATATCATTTGGCGTTATTGTTTCTTTATATATATATATATATATATATATATATATATATATATATATATATATAATCTATTATTATTATTTAGCATTGATAATATCGCTTACCAGCTTGGCGATTTGGAAAAGGAATTGTGCTGACTTTGACCCTGACTGTTGGACAATATCGTACAAAGTACCTTTATTGTTCGTCAGTAATATGTACGGATGATCGAATTCCTAATTGTTATTTGAAAAAAGTGTCGTGAGAAAATTTTTAATCATCTACATAATGACAATATCAAGATAGTTAAGATACAAAATATAAATTTCGGTAAGAAGGTACTTTATTTATGAAATAAAATGAGTTACCAATTAGTGTAAAAATCATTAATTTAATCATTGACTGATCAAGAATTAACTCTATTGATATTTAGAATTATTGAATAGCACAATACGAATGACATAAGTATAATTTGATTAAGGAACATCGACATAATTAATAATTAAACTCAATGACAACATTTGAATTGAAGACATTTGTGTGTTACTATCACAGCCCATATTATACATTATTTTATCGAAAGTCTGAATTGTCTCTCAATTAATTAATTAACGCGCAGCCGTAATCATAATATTATTAAACTATTTATACGTGTATTGAAAAAATTCAGCGTGGAGGTAAAATATAGAGAAAGAAAACGTTTTTATTATTAAAATTACGTTGAAATATCTTCGACCTTACTTTTCCCAGCCGACAAACTCCCTTATAACAATGCAACTAACAATCTTTAAGACTATTATAATGGATAGCGGACATAAAACTTCTATTTTATCAATCGACATTGTACGTTATAATTGTTTATAAGGTTAAAGCCGTAAGAATTATGACCATTCTTGCGGCATAAAATGTCCGGGAATTTTGTAAATTGAAATAAATGATAAAATCCAGCAAAGTTCAAATAATGTGAGGATCGCGCGGTCAATATTACCGATATAGAGCCGGAGTCCATGACGAGTATCCTGTCGCTGTCGATGACGGTGTGCAGCCTGTGGGCGATCGTCAATATCGTGCAGGCCTCGAACTTCTTTTTCACCGTCTTCTGGATGAGATCGTCGGTGCTGGGGTCGACGTTAGCCGTAGCCTCGTCCATCACGAGGATCTTCTTCTTTCTGACGATGGCTCGCGCCAGGCAGAGCAGTTGCCTCTGTCCGACGCTGAAGTTGGAGCCGCCGACGGCGACCTTGGCGTCGAGGCCCATGTGGAGGCTTCGTTTCATGCCGACGTCGTCGAGTGCCTGCCAGAGATCCTTGTCCGTGTACTCGTCGAAAGGATCGAGGTTCTTGCGCACGGTGCCCATGAAGAGGATCGGCTCTTGTGGAATGATGCTTATCTTCGAGTTCGTACAATCGATATTATATCCCCTCGAGTAATAATGGTACTAAGGACTTTATATACAAGAGGACTATTGTTTTGGAGTTTGTTCTTTGAGAATGATTTTTAGTTATTTGTGACATTGTAATTATTTATTTGGCATTTTTTTTCTTTTTTTAACCACTAATTTAAAATTGACTCAATATCGTGCCACTTGTATTTTATTCTTCGATGTTTTATAGTTTTTATAATATTGACGACTTTAGGGGGGAAAAAAAAACAAAAAGATATATATTCTTTTCAATATAACGCGTAAAAGTTGTGTGTACATTTTTAAACAAGATTGCTTATTAGAATGTAATAAAATATTTAGGGAAGATTTAGGGAAGATAGATCGATGAACGAGGCTCGTTGATCGATGATATGTCATGTGCACCGATTTATCGCTATTTTTACATTATTTTCGAACATTATGCACATTAACGTTTCTATGAATATGTATTACCGATAATGACAATTGAAAATGATAATTAAAAATGAATTTCTAAACTTGAATAAGTGCATCGATATTTTATATATATATATATATATATATATATATATGCGCTTAAAGCCAGTATGTATTAAGTGAAAGGTCAATGGGTTAAAGTAATGTAAGTAACATAAGCATTTCTATCGAATAATTGTTATTTAACATACGAATCCCTAATAGGATTCCAAATTTTTTTTTCGCGTGTAAGAGATTGTTGTTGTTTTTTTTTTTTTTTTTTACCTGTGATCGTAATTCGTGTAATCCAAGAGTATTGGTTAGAACTTGATCGATGTAAATGTCTCCTTCGATATAAGCTAATCGAAAGAGAGAATTGATCAAGGAAGACTTTCCTGCTCCCGTTCGTCCGACTATCCCTACTTTCTCTCCCGGCTGTATCACAAAGTTTAAATTTTTTAATATCGCAGGCCCCTGCTTGTCATATCTGAGATAGACGTTTCTGAATTCAATTTGACCTTCGGTTGGACAAAATCCATTATCAATGCCATTGGTTAAAAGGAAAGCGGTCCCAGATACATCCGAAAGCTCGGCAGATCGTTTATCGTCCGAACTATCCGCGTTACAGCATTCTCTTGGCAATTGAAAATATTCCAGCACTCTCTCGACGGACGTCATTTGATTTTCAAGCTCAGCAAATTGCCTAACGCCCCATTGCAGTGTATTTATTAATAACATACACTGAGTTATAGCGAGACCGATATCACCGGCCAATGTCGTTTCGTCAAATGTCATTAGAGTGAATAAAACGCAGGTCAGAAATAGGGCGCAGAATAAGTCCAAATACATGCCGAGTCCTCGAGAGCCTGAGAAAAAAATGAAACACGCGGATGAGTGAAGGTTCTGGTGGTCGTCAAACTCGTCGACCAAAGTTTCTTTAGCATTTAGTGCCCGTATAGTTGCTAATCCTTGTAGAGTGTCGCTCACGTGACCGAATACCGGCGATCTCGCTACAATTGATAAATTGCAAAATGCCGATTAACGTTGGTGAATAATTTAACACATTTAAATATTTCGTGCGTGTAGTGATAAACTTACTTATTCCTTCCAACCGCTTGATGCTCCGACTCGTTCTTATAAAGAACGCGGAGAAGAAGTAAAAGAAGAAACCGACCAACACCGTTGGAATAATGAGCCAAGGATTAACGCTGGTGACTAAACTAAATGCCGCGATAATGTGTATTGCATTCTGTATAACGTCGATCATTGCTCGCGACACCTCCGTATCAACGATACTCATATCTTTCGAAAATCTGAATAAATACTTGGGATTAAATTTGTAATAAATAGACCATTGTGAGGGACAAACACCTTCCCCATAATTTTGTCGTGTCTCCCATTACCTGTTCATTATACGACCCAGCGGGTTCGTGCTGAAAAAATCGATGGTTGCATAGATCACGCTGGTGAACATGCGCGCGTGTAGATTATTGGCTATTCTCATTGTCATTTCGAAAAATGTCCACGATTGCAAAAGGCAGAGAGTTATCGTAGCAATTGTGATGCCGCCATAAAAGTAAATGTAACGTTCGCGATGTGCGCAGACGGATTCGTCGCAAGTCTCGTTCCTCTGCGACGTGGCGTTCTCCTCCGCATTCACCCAATATGCTAGAAAGTAATCGCCACAGCTGGCTGCTAATTGATGCAAAATACTTACGAATGCGACAATAATAACGAGAGGAAGACTTTCGCTGCTCGAAAAATAGGATACGTAAGTCTTGGCGGATATGCTACCGCCTGCTTTACTTTCAACGACACTCTCCTTCTTCTTGGCGATGCTCTCGATTATTATTTCATTGCGCAACGACTTTGCTTCGTCGTCCTTCTTCGGCGTCTCCCCCTCATCAAATTCATTCTCAATTTGCATCACCTGTACCAAATTCACTCCGGCACTTTGCAATTCGCCGAACGTCCCCGTCCCCTCCACCGAGCCCCTATTCAATACTATTATACGATCGACTTCTTCTAAATACTGAAACTGGTGCGTCACCAATATCACAGTTTTTCCCTTTAAATTCGTCTTAATGCACTCGTCGAAGATCTTCCGACCCACAACGGCGTCAACCGCCGAAAGTGGATCATCGAGAAGATATATGTCAGTGTCGCGATAAATTGCTCGCGCTAGATTCAATCGAGCGCATTGTCCACCACTCAAGTTTATTCCCTTTTCACCAACCATCGTCGCATCGCCGTCCGGAAAGATGTCGAGGTCTCGTCTCAGTTGGCAAACATCGATTACATTTTCGTAGCGCATTTTATCTAGTGGACGGCCAAATAGGATATTTTGCCTTACGGTGGAGGCGAAAATCCAAGGCTCCTGGGACGCATAGGAAACTAAGCCACCAACAGTCAGTTCTCCACTGGTGTAGGGTAGTTCTCGAAGTATGGCGTGAAGAAAACTGGTTTTACCAGCGCCCACTTGGCCAACAACGGCCGTCAATGATTTTGCCCGAATCGTTAAGCTCACGTTCTCGAGCACTTTTACTCTCGGGGCCCATTGGCCGCTCAAGTTCCTCAATGTTATAATGGACTCTGTCGAGGGATTCGACTCGTTTTGCTCGGGGCTATTGCAATTGGTGGGTAGTGAGCATGGCACCTCTTCGATCAGCATAAATTTTTGAAGACGTTCAACAGATACTAGCGCTTCGGCTGCATCGTGCAAACCTGAAAAGCACATTGCTGGTAATTCACAAAATTATCCATCGACGCTTGCCATTAATGCCCACTCTACTTTCCAAATTCAATAATCGAGCGTTACTTACACATTGGGAATAGCGTGTACATGCTCATTCGCAGAACATCATAGAGCGCGGTGACAACGTAAACTTTTTCAGCGCTAATAATATTTCCAAATAGAATGAAGGAAAGTATCGTTATAAAAATGCAAAGCCTTGGTATATAAAATTCCGAGGCTAAGCTTATATCGGTCATTATCGAATCTTGCTTAACGATTTGCATTTCTTTTCTGAAAAAATAATGTGTCTTTGAACATTAAGTTTTTAAGTTTTTTTTTTTTTTTTTTTTGTTTTTTTCCCCCATCAAGTGTTGTTTACATTTCATTAAGTGTTCGTATTTCATCGATCTTACGTACTTACGCACACAATTTGGTAAATATATGTTGTGTTAAGTTTGAAGTAATCGTGTTGTAAGCTTGATGAATTAATATTTCCAATTATGACTTACAAACTATCTCGCTACTACGTATTAAAATTAATTTAATATTTAGATTAATAACAATGTTATTGAGCTTGTACCGTAATTCGTTTAAACGTTAAAATTTATATTGTTAGTACGAGACTATTTTCAAAACCGTTAACATAGTAACTATAATTTTATAATATTACTTAAATAATAATGTTTATGTTACTATATTAGCAAATTTAACTAGGATTGCACGCAAATCCATTGAAATGATTTAAAAGTAATTTTACTCGTAAAATCAGAATGTACATTTATGGGAGGAATATGATTTTATGGAAATGATTGACTTGTTTTGTTGCTCACTTTCGGGCATGATCGATGAGTACGGAGAACGGCTTTTCCCAGGCATACATCTTGATGGCCCTTATTCCCTTGATAATTTCATTGGTTAATCCAAGCCGCTCGTCGGTTCTTGCTGTGTATTTACTAGTCAGGCGATTCGTTAAACTCCCAAAAAGTCCTAAATTCTCGCGTCATTGCGATTTCTCTAATTACATTGTGAGGCTGTTTACTTGAATTATCGCATTAGTGCACACAGAGAGAAAAAATAGTATTATACATTTATGTATATTATTATATTAACTCAGATACCATACTCATTAATCGTTGCGTGTCAATGAGAGTGCGATTAGATAGTGCGTTTGATACCATTTGATTTTCTCTGTGTTACGTACGAAGTTTTACATACTTACCCAGTACCGGTATAAAAAGTAATTGTAGAGCAATCCCGCTACTAGCTGCGAAACCAACTTCCCTGTATAAAAAATAAAATACCATAAAAGCTTGCAGAGGTGCCATCCATATATAATGGATGTAAAATACCGCGTGATCTATTCTGCTCACGTCGTTGCTCAGCAAATTCAGCACCTGGAATTAATTGTTTTTTTTTTTTTTTTTAATGCATAATTAACCACGAGTAAGAACTATCTGGCGAGGCTCTCGATTAAAAAGAATTCATATACGTTTTGAGCGAACGTTAAGCTCTAAAGTATCAATAACAGGCGCGATAGCCTATTGCAAATGTGTCTCCGATGCCTTTTGAGACGGCATATTCGTCTCGTATAGGCGCATGATAATTCAATTTACGTATTATTGTATATAAATAATTGTTAGAGGAGTGTTAGAGGCCCATGGCGACGATATTTATTTTTTTTTTTTTACTAAACCTGTCCGGCGCTCGTTTCATTGTCCGTAAAAGTAATTGGCACGTTCAATATTTTTCTATACAAGAGGGAGGAGCACGCGACTCGTATCTTCATTCCCGTGTGCATCAAATTTTGGACGCAAATGTGACAGGTGATGCAATCGATGAAAACGCCAGCGGCGAGTCCAGCAGCCCAGCCGTACGCCTCAATCTTCGCCATGTATGATCTCTCGCTCGAGTAGTGCAACAATTGCAATAAAATGTACGGCCTAGATAATCTGAAGAATACGGATCTCTTAAATATCTTGAATCATCATTACGTTAGCCTTTTATTTCGCACTTGAGGAAGTGGCGAACAAAACTGCATCCATTTACTTTACGAAATTGCATTTTGAGAATTTAGGTCGTTTCAAATTAGATTTGCATTTTTTTTTGCATTTTTTTTTTTATTTTTATTTTTATTTTTTTCATTAAAGTTACCGACTCCGCGTATACACTTCATTGTAAGTGATATTGATGTATTATGCTCCTTTCAATCAAAATCCAAGCTAAAACTTATCACGCTGGAGCCGTTAATTTTGCATTAACCCCCAATTTTCAATGAATACGATGGCTTTTAAGTTATTTTATGTGACACTTGCTGGTGCTAAGAAAGTTGGCAAAGGAAAATACTTATCCGACAAGAAAAACAAACGAGGATGTTTTGTATGCTTGAAACAATAAGTAAATTACAAAAGGATTTAATCATTAATTTTCCTTTATAAACAATTTTATAATGTGAATTAATGCAGTTTAAATGCTCGCTTCCTGTATTGTCAATAATCCTCGATACCTTATAATGAATTCTAATAGAGCCTGAGCTATGCCAATGATCAAGATATCTCTCCCAAAACATTTCACAAGAACTTTCATTAAATTGGGAGTAGCACTTTTATTTAAATTTTTACACCTCTTTTGTTCCCTTCTCCATTCGGCTGATATTTGGTCACCAACATTATGACTCGAATGCTGATTCAATGGGTAATAAAGATCGGATAAATTCAATTCTCGTTGAAATCCAGTGAGAAAGGTTTTAAAAAGCCAACTATAAAAAGAAAAGAATTTTTTGAAAGGTTCGATTTGCTTCAATTGCTATTATCAATATAATGGAGCGTTAGTGAAAATAATAAATAATAATTCAAATTCAAACAATTATAAATAATTAATATTTATTATCATATTTTTATCCTTTTTATAATAATTTGAATGTTAAGGTATTATTAAGCATTGTTATTATATATTTTTAAAGTTTTCTTTTTTACGCGTCACTTAGCAATTTTAAATCTTTTAGTTTAATATAAATTAGTTAAAATAGTTCACTTTCGTTATTTCGTATTTTAGACAAATAAATATTTAACTTTAAATAATGTGGACGATAGTAATGTAGTAAAACGATTGCAAATTTAATACATATTAATATTTAAATAATACCGAGTCAACTTTTCATAAAAACGATATATTAAAAATGAAATTAATCAAATCTGATAGAGTAAAAGAATAGATATTTTACAATTATTCCTGAAAATATTAATTAAAATATATAATTCTACATGAAATGTTAGTAAATGATTATATTTTTATTACGCGATACGTTTACTTAAACAAATTCGAAACGATTTAATATTGAAATTAAAAATTAAAGACGTAGAAAGTGACATTCAAAAAATTTGTCTAGAATATTAAAAATCCCGCAATAAGTAGCGGTAAGTTATAAACATTTAAAACACTCGATATTTCAATTCAGAATGCTGTGGCGATAATATCGATGCTATTACAATGATTTTCCTTCATACAGGACAACTTTTTGATCTTTAATTATTTGAAATAACATGTTTAAACGATTGATAGCGTACTTTGTTCGGCTCACTATTTCTTTTCTTTAATGTTTTTTTATCAACCTACTGACATTTGAAACCTTAAATCAGTGTCTTTAAAGATAGACTAATATTCTTTCAGATCAGCATTTTCAGAATTTGTGTAGTCTCATTTAGTTTTAAATTAGTTCTTCATTTCGTTGAAAAAATAATAATAATAATAATAATGGCTCTATAAAAAAAAATTTTTTTTCATATTTTCTCTTATATTAAAATGCATGATAAAAACTTGTACATTTTTATATTTAAAATCTGATTTATGAAAAACATTATAGATGTGTGTGCGCGTGCGTGCGTGCGTGCGTGTGTATATGTGTGTGTGTGCGCGCGCTCGCACGTATTATGCATCTTATAAAATTAAAAAGTATTCTAAATTCCCTTACACTTAACACGTTTTATCTTTTCAATGCTAAGGAAATCAATAGTCAACCGAAGTAAATAATGTAGTTCTATTATAAAAATATCTATAGCAAACACAATAAAATATAGGGTTGATTAATCAATCGAATCCGCATCAGAATGAGAGTATTTATATTGTTGATTCTCCGAAGCTCAGTTACCTTGCTTGTTTGCATAAGTATTATTCAATTTTACGAACAACGCAATATTGTCTACAACTCTGTGTGTGTGTGTGTGTGTGTGTGTGTGTGTGTGTGTGTGTGTGTGCATTGAGTTAGTTAAAAAAAAAAATAATAATAATAAAAACAAGAAATCGAATATTGACAATATAATGTTATAAAATAAGCCTAATTGCAATGTGACACAATAAAATATATATTGTAATTTTTCCCCGAGTAAAATTCTATTATTATTATTGTTATCATTATTGTTATTATACTAGTATTTCGAGTGTTTAAAAAAAAAAAAAAAAAAAAATATTACGTTATACATATCGTTTTTATAATATTTTGTTGATTCTATTATTTTGTTTAACACGCGCGCGCGCACTCGCACACACATAAGAAAGCTTATATAGAATTTTTATTTGATTACGTGTATCTAATCACTCTTTTCGTAGAAATACAGATTGGAATAATTAGATTATGTTGCCTCACTTTTGGATTACTTAAGAGCCGGAAACTCTTTAATATCGACGATGTTACTTTCAAAACTAGTATAAATCAATGCCACAATATAATCAATAAGTATTTGGAAAATATTGATTCCTAGACAAATAGTTTATCTAACAAAATATCATGAATCGATTTGTTGATGTTTTGCGTTGCATATACCGTATTAATAAAAGTCAATGATAACCGTATTAATTAAATTAATTAATTATGTATTATTATGTAATTATTAATTAGATTAATTTCAATGGCCTATCGTTAAACAGTGTCATTATTTTCCTTCCGTCTCTTTATTTTCATATAGAACATTAGCATTAAATGCTCGTCACCTAAGCTACACGATTATAACAATATCGAATTTTATCGAAATCAATGAATTTATGTGCTTTAAGATTTTTATGAGGCTTACGCGAAACTGATGATAGATAATCGACTAGCGCCTTGTCTGGGATTGTTTTCCCTCTTCTTTTCGCCGCCGTCCATGCTAAACGCGTTTACGCATGTACTTTTTTAAAGCCACTTTACTTCCAAAGATGGGAGCATTCCCTCAAACAAAGGAGATCTTGCAAAAGGCTCGAATGCTCTTGAATAATAATTGGCGCGGTAACTTAATATTGAAAATACAAATAAATAGGCGAACGAACGAACGAACGAACGAACAAAAAACAAAAAATCGCTTTAAATATCGAGCGATCAACCGCAAGCTTCAATCGAGACGCGTCCGTTCGATAAAAAACAATTTCCAAAAACGAGCCAGCATCCTGGCACGGGTGGACTAATGTTAACAATCGACCTCGTACGACGAGACGCGAATAATCTTAAATAAGATTTGAGAGGCCGCGACGGGCAAGTAAACGGTATCTCATCGACCGAACTGTGACAAGTCGAACTTCCGATTAAACAAGACACGATAGCGAATATTCGGCTGGACGTGTCTGGGGCTCGAGCGCGGAGGAGCTCACGTTCGTACTAGAGACTTTTCGCGATCGGCCTTTCTTATACAATGAAGCACGTTACACCGGAGTCTATTGCAAACTGGCTTCTGTCGCCAACTCGGCCACTGTTGCCTTGCCATATGCTGTTATTAGCATAAGCCTGCAGATATCTTGCGTACCGACACTGCTCCCTCCGCGCCTTGTGCGTCAGTGGAGAAAAGGAAGTGAAAAAGAAAGGGGACTTTCTCGCGAGCTGAGAGGAGCAGGTAACCGGCCACCTGCCAAACAATCTGCTCCTTTTTTCTGCTGCGCCTTAAACTTCGTTTTGGCAGATATAGACGTAGGGCGCGAGAGGCCCAATCATAATTAATGACATTGGCGATGATTATTATTATTATTAGTGACGCTTTGTCGTAATGTAATGCGTCTGCTCTGTAAAGTAATTGTCAAGCTCGTTGGCGTAATGCCTGGCTCTTTCACTTTTTATCTTCTTGCGCGTATCGGGAAAATATATTTTTGAATTGAGTGAGCGAGCAACGTATGTGTTTGGCGACAGAAAGAGAAAGAGAGAGAGAGAGAGAGAGAGCTGGTGCTTCGTTTGATCGTAAAACTGTCCGAGAAAAGTCGCTCGAATAATGAGTCGGCTGGTACAATTTCGAAATTATTGGATTTTACAATTTAAATGAAATTTCCAATATAAAACGACTGGGTGAAATATTGAAAGAGGGCCTTTGTAACTCAACAAGATGATTAATATCTCATTACCATTGCTTTGAGACTTTAACGTGCATGTAAGCCTAAATAGATATTTCATAGAATCATTCCGCAAAAATTTTCTGTTCTTCGTTGCTGTTTCTTAGCGATAATGGCTTTTTACGCAATAACGAATAAATTGAACAAAAAGGATAAGTTTGGGTACGGTAGGCCTAGAATGCTATTTCCACGAATGTGTAATGATTGATCAGTCTCGATCCTTAAAATTATTGATCGATATTCACGTTTTTATTTAATACGGTAAGTAGATAGTAAGTTCATTCCTCCAAGCAAGTTTTATTTGTATATTACAACAATTTTCATATTCTAAAGTGCGTTACCATAAAAGATGGTTTTTTATTTTATTGGCGTAACTATAAAGCGAATGAATGCGAATAAATATAAAATTTTTCATATTAACGTGTTGAAGTGAACACATTTTATCAGGAAATTTGGAATAATAATCTTAGAACATCAGAATTAAAAATATTATAAAACTTTTTATTTTCATCTTATAATAATTTATTTCTATCGAATTGATGCATATATATATATATATATATATATATATCAACTCCTCAACGAAAAAATATGAATAAAAACTGTAACAAGAAGAAAATAATCAAGTGCATCTTCTTTTAATTATAAATATTATAAACAACCATATATTATTAACTATATATTTCAAATATATATATATATATATATGTGTGTGTGTGTGTGTGTGTGTGTCGCATATAAAATACCATTATAATATCTATAAAAATGTGCACATGTGTGTAATAAATATGCATTTGTTGTATTTTTTCAAACAAATACGAGTCATGTGGAATGGGAACTTTTCATATGCATAAAGCATTGAATGAAAAATTTTGTAAAAAGTTTAATATTTTAAATCAATGTCTTAGTTTTAGTTATGATGTGTAAAAAATTAATTTAACATTCTTATTCACCATTTCTTTTGAAAGACTAAAGTTTCTGAAAAATTTTCTAAAGTATTCGACGAATTATATATATTTTCCTTTTATATAAAACTTTACTGTATTCTCTATTTTTGTTTTTGTTTTTGTTTTTTGAACGCATAAAATTGCTCGTTTATTGATCTAAATAAATTATTTAACTTAAATATTGCCACAATAAATATATATTCTAAACCTTTAATCTATAAATACATGCAGTTATTTTTTCTTCTTTTTTTTTTTAACATCTACACTTCTTTGATAAATTATTATCAATGTTAAATTATTATCAATACTTATCGGCATTAAATAACTAAACGTATGTGAATAAATATTTGAAGTAATTAATTACTTATACTGTCATGTTGCAAATAATGCGTCCACGGGTCTTCAATCATAAAAAATTATGCACTTCGTGTAAAATCGATGCTCTTTATGAGTATTTGTTAAAATACGATGACATAAGTTTATTTAGCAATGTTTTTGTCCCATTGGTATGCATTTTCATTAATGCTTTTACGAAACTTCGTCAATGAAATTTAAAAACTTTTCCGCAAAAAACGCTGTTTCCACGAATGATGCTAATAGAGTCAAATTATTCTATTTCATCGAATTTCACCTTCGCAAACTTTTATGAACCGTATAATTGGATAATTGTGCATTCGCGTCTAAGTGTCTTGGTTGTAAGAAAATAGAAAGAAAAGCTTTATTAAAAAACCAAGGAAATTACTTAAATTAAAGTAAATTGTTATTATGCAGTGTATATTCTTTTTCTACACTATTGTCCGATAATTATAATCGTCTAAATATCGATTTCTTTATACGCACAAGTATTTTTACTTTATTCCATCAAATGCAATTCGTATGCTATTATATAAAAAGATAATAGAGGGAGTTTTAAGCGCTTGAATCTCAAAAAAGTATATCTTACAGAGCTTCGCAACATTGAATATTCAATACAATTTCAGAATAAGCGTTGCATAATGGTCGCCGGGACACAAGAAGTAAGCCAATCAATAATTTTTAATAAGACATTTTAATTGTAAGAGCCGCATTAAAGCTGAATTCTGGCACTTAAACTTAATTAACTATGTTAAACCATATTAAAACTGTAAAGATGTGTAAAAGTGGTAATAAAATTAACTTCAGGCAAAAATGACTTTCAACACAAGGATAATCCAATGGAACAAGCTGCTAATGTCGCCACTGGGCCTCTGGCCTGAGAATTTCTCTAACTTACGTTTTTATATTAACTTCCTCTACATGGGCTATTTCGTATCCTTAGAGTATCTGGATTTGTGGGTTTTTATCGAAGACTTCGATCGCGTTCTCCTTAATGTCGTGGAGAACGCGGCTTTCACGCAAATTATGTTACGAATGTACATACTTTATAGCTATAACCGCAGCATCGGCGCACTGTTCAATGAAATCAACGACGATCTTATCTCGAAGGAATACACTAACGAAGAGAGAAAAATTTTCATCACTTATCAAGTGAAATCTGTTATCTTTATAAAATTATTGGTTATCAGTACTGCACTTACCGCCACGTCTCATTACGCTAATCCATTTATAGGACAAATTAGTGAAAGTAAGTTTCGTGGTAATGGTCATTTTTATAATTAATAATAATGTAATAGTCATGTGCGTACTTGCTTAAATCGAGTTGATCTAATCTCGAAAAAATATTGAGCAATCTGCTTGTAAGTCGACATAAAAGTTTCTCCAATAGCAAGATTTGCCCCGACATCGCGTACATTTACGTTTTTTTTTTTTTTTTTTTTCGTCAAGAAACAACTAATATAATTCATGTGTTGTTTATATGTGGCGAGAAATATTAATATACGAAACAGCATCTTTGTCCTTATACGTTATATCCTTATACGCTTTATGATAAAATTCATCTTACTTATTATATGTTATATTATGCAATTAGCAGATAACGATTCAATTTCGATAAAGACAAGTTCATTTTATACACGAGTAAGTAAATGTTATAATTTGTTCAATGTATCAGTAAAATGAAAAGGTAAGTGAAACCACAAGAACCGTCTAATAAATGCCAATGGTATGATGTTTCATGCACAATCTTCATAAAGAAAAAAAAAAGAAAAATAAAATTTAAATTATGGTTTATTCATATGTTTTTTTTTTTTTATTAAATATTTCTGTTCGCATCGATAAATAAAATGCGATGCTACTCGTTGTAATGCCTTTCAGAAACAAACCTTGATCCTATCTATCAATATTTTAAGGACCGAATTGGCCAGTGACACCAACGGGACAACATTTGTATCGATATATTAGCCTATTTATAATAAATCGAAAATGTCGAGATTAATCGTAACGCGTGAAAATACAGTTGTAGAATATGCAGGATCAAGCAGCGAGAATTCGTCCATCGTCTTTAGGATGCCGTATTGCTTTTATCAGTTTTACGAAATAAAGGACGTGTCGACGTACTTCTGGACGTACGGCACGCAACTGCCGTTCGTCTTTGTCAGCGCATTCGGCCAGTGCTCGTCAGACTGCTTGATGGTCACAATGGTCTATCACATTTCCGGCCAAATGGCCGTTCTCGCGCTTCGAATCACAAACATCGATACCGATCCCAAGCGCTGCACGATCGAGCTCCAAAAGGCCTTTAGGTTGCACATAAGGCTGCTCCGGTAAATATTTTCTTCTACCTCGGGAGCCTTTCAGTGGGTAAATACATTTGGTAAATCTGATTGCTGGGTTTTGCTTTCGAAATGACGAAAGTACGGTCGACCGAACCATTATCCTTCGGTCCTTTACGTGTGTGTCCCAGTGGATTCTAGGTTAAGCTTATCGAACAGTCTCGAAATTTTCAAAATGATAGTGAAAAACTTTTGCAAAATTGGGAGGAAATTCGCAATTTATTGCACCAAATACCAACGCGAATTCAACATAATGACATTTAGCTTTCGAATGTTCCAATATCACTCGATCTATACATATGTCAGTACTCTAAATTTTTTTTTTATGTAAATCTAACGTTTATGTAAATTTATAATACCACAAGTAAAATAATTTTAAGCTTTTTTAAGATTACATCTACAACCAATCATTGTTCTACATTCTAATGCAATATTTCAGAAACTTTCAATTTAATGATAATAATATATATATATAAATAATCTATATTTTGCTTGTGATAACATTAGTAAACTCAAAGATAATCCAGATAGAACCTAAAAAAAAAAAAATTCTTTTTAAGTCTCGAATCCTTTTTTGAACAATATTTTACCTTTAGCGCAAGGAATTATGATTCTAATAACAAAAATTCTTGTATTCACTCATTCGATTAATTTACAAGTCAAAAAAAATGTAATTTTATAGTTAATATGCAATCGCCAATTAAAATAATAAAATACCATCGTCACTTTTGGATAGAATAACCCATATAAGACAAACCATAATATTATTCATTATTATTAATATTAAATCTCGATATATTAACATTCGGCTTTTATATAACTATATAATTTTATTTAATGGCCGCAATAATTTTTCAATATATAGTAATAAAAAGTCATTCCTTGGATTCATATAAAAACAGGCTCGGAAGCCTAAAGATTTTATAAATTACCATCTCATTTTTTTTTTTTTTTATAAATAATTTCTTAATATGCAATAATATTATGCATAATAAAACTAGAAATTTTAAAATAATTGAAATCCTCATAACTTTAATTTGAATTATTTAGCCATCATAGCCATATATCAATTTATCTTGATTATCATGGGAATTAGTCACACTGCATATCGCAATTCTTTTAACTACTAATATTATCAAAGTCAATACAATGCAAATCGTTAAATTTTATTGGATTTCAATCTTATGGCTTTAATAAGATTTTTTGACTCATCATAAGTGATTTATTGATAAAAACAAAAAAAAAAAAAAAAAAAAAAAAAAAAAAAAAAAAAACACAAAAAAAATAAAACCAGATAGGTGCAGTAGACATTCGAATGAAATGCCCAGTAATTAATATATTCAATTTAAATGTTCAGCAAAATTTACAAAATTACCAACTTTGCCTAATATCAATGCCGCAGTGACGGATAAATTAGGCACGTGTTAGTCATGGAACGATTGCTAATCTGAGCCAGATACTTTATGTCCGTATGCACCTTCTTTAATGAATAAATTCACCTTCTTTATTCAATATACAATTTAATACGTCTTCTTTAATGCATAATCAATATGGTTTAACTTAATTATTTATACATTTTATAATTATATATTTATAAATTTTCAATATTTGCATTCTAATTTTTATAAAATATTACCTTGTTCATGTCATATTAGAATGGGCAAAGACGTACAGGAAATATTCAGCGTGATCCTAATTGGACAAATTATATCTTCCTTATTGCTTGTCTGTACTTTGGGATATCAAATTTTATTAGTACGTAGGTCAGCATTGAAAATTAACACGTACATTGAATTTGCATTTTTAAAATGAGTTTTTATTTTATATTTAGAACCTAATGATTGGAGACAATTTTGGTTTATCATCATTGATTGTATTCATCTTCCTAGTATTCCTGATACTCTACACTCACTGTACAATTGGCGAAAACCTGATAATCGAGGTAATGAATATTGTATTATATAATCTCACAGGTTTCTATGTATCACTAAACGATAAAGGACCACTACTTATGTTTAAACTTATAAAGAATATTATACAGGCAACGAGATTCATTTTGAATTTTTTAAAAACTTGCGATAAAAAAAACCCACCGCTAAGCCAACATAAGCAAAAGTGAAAAAAAAAAAAACTAATTAATAATTTTATAGAGCAATCGTGTGGCCGAGGCTTATTACAACTGCAACTGGTATCAAATGTCTAATGAAAATGCAAAAATGATTTTATTATGCATCCATCGTGCACAGAAACCGATGCAACTCTCTGCTGGACAATTCAAAACGTTTTGTCTTATGACTTACACCGATGTAAGAAAATAATGCAAACAATACATAAATTCACGTACTTTATCTATATTTATTATAACATTATTTATTCATATTTACAGACTATCAAAACTTCCTTGGGATACTTGTCAGTTTTAAGAAAGACGCTATAGAATTTACCGTATATATATATATATATATATATATACATAGATTATTTTAAATTTTCTTATTTACTCATAGATGCTTTGCACATGAATAATACATACAAATTCAATATGAATCAAATATAGGTAAATATGTTTTTAAAATTACTTTTTAAGATAATCAATGTATACGAAAATGAAGAATATAAAATTCGTAAGGTGCTTGTACAACGATTGCAGTTAACATTTATTTATTAATTTATTAATGCCAAAAACCTTTTTTTTTTATTTCAAATGAGAGAAATTTATCACGTATTATTATTAGAATTCACAAATATCTAATCATAATGTTAGCAAAATCGTCCAGCCATTAATTATTATGCTAATTTATAATGCATTAGCTATTTGAAAAATTCAACTATTTATCAGATCTACCATTCTCTTTATTATCACGGAATTCAAATTATCGTTTACATAGATGTTGAATTATTAATATTCTCAAACATATACATCTACAATCTTTATAACATTTTAACGCGAGTAAAAAATTTGAAATGTTTTTTAATTGCGAGCTACCAACAATGGCACAATCTCTATATATTAAATATAACATTAGAAATACAATATTTTCCTGAATTTAATATTCAAATTATTTCAGACAAATTATTATATAAATTGTATTGATTATAAAGATTAAACAACAATAAACTCAATATAATCTATTTGACATACTCTCAACATATTATATATATATATATATATATATATATATATATATATATATATATATATATATATATAATGTAATAATATAATACAATATATTAAATATTAAACCTTGTAATGGAAAGGAATTTGTACTTGTTCATACAATTCAATTTATACGTAAAATATTTATTATCAATAGTTATTAGTTTATTAGTTATATATTTATCGAATAGTATCATTGTGATTACTTAAAACGCTTATATAGAAAATAACTATTAATATGTATTTTTTAAGTACATTAATTGATTGAAAATAGATAAATTACAAGTCACATAAACGATTACAGTTGTACCAATAGAATTACATAAAAGTAAATACTTTTAGAGCATTACATTTATGCCTTATTGCATTTTTATTATCTAAATATTTCATTCCGTATGATATTCAATTTTTTAATTAAATTCATTATAACTCTTTTTTTATGGAATTTTCAAAAAACTGATTATTCTGTCTGTTTTTCTAGTATTACTATTATTGCATAAGTAAAGCTTTACAAACACTAAGAATTTACTTTATGTGCTTGAATATTTAGACATACGGCCCTAGTGAATAAATACTACATTGTAAAAACACTAAATAATTTCACTGATTATTTCTGTTTCGAGTCTCCATTGCAATAAGTTGAGAAATATTGAAATATTCATATTCTAATAGCCGACGAAGCATTTTAAATTGTATTACGTTCATATTGTAAAGAATTATTTTTAAAACAAATATCCAATAAATACTCATGCTCAATTTGATTTTAATATTTTAAATGTCAAATGCATCCAGCAAGATGAAATTTAAAAATTTTTTTAGTATTAATATTAATAGAAAGTATTAGTATTAGTATTAAAATTTTTAATATTAATAGTCAATTGAGAATATTTCTAATTATATTTTTAATTAGGCTTATTAATTAAATTTTAATGGAATTAATATATTTTTGTCGATGGCTGATTATGAGTCAAGCATAGCTGGATGAAAAATATATGTTTAAAATTTTAGGATAATCAATAAGTTTTTTGAATTTTTTAATTACATAGAAAAAATAATTTTTAATAATTATTTAAATGACACAGTATTGTTGAATATTGAATTACTTATAGTATGTTGAAGCTATTTCATACATTATAATTTAACGAGTCATTTTTGTTCACTCTAAATTCGAATGAATCCATAGTTTCAACAATTCTTTTAATTTTTAGATATAATATAAGCTATCAATAACTGTGTCACTACAAAAACACTACAGGCAATGAAAATCCTTACAAGTTTAATGATGAATAATAATATATCGTAATATAAACAAATTACTTAATGCGAAAACGTAAGCATTAATTAAAATCAGGGGAAGAGTCATAGTCGTAGGTCATTACATCAATTATAAAGAGTTTTCATTTTCCATGATTATAAAGGCTATACGTTATTTTCTTTATATTATTATATTTTTAATATTTTTATAAAATTAATATAAATTTAAAAAATTTGGTGTTATCAAAAAATTTTCAGATAAAATATTTCGGATTATTTTTAAAATAAGACCCAAACCACTAGACTTATTAAAAAAACTTTATTGAAATACTTTATAAACTATAGCGCATTATTAAAAAAGAATTTTTTTCTATTATATTAATATACTTTAGTCAGAAACTACATTTTATTACCAACCAATGTTGTGAGTTATTGTATTCTAGAATAAGACTAACTGTTCCGATTAAAATACAAAGTAAATTTTCAACAAGCTTATAAGTTTCTTAAGATTTTCATTTGAATGTCCAATCCAATTGAACGATTAAAATATTTATTGATAATTAAATTTTCCAAATTTTGTTTCTTCACGATTCTCACAAGTATGGAGTCTTTATTTTATTTTAGAAAATATTTTATTATTTTTGTCTCTTTTAATAAAGACAGAGTTTCATTTACCATGTCTCATGAACTTAATGCTTTATGTGCATGTATCTGTCTTATGAAAATGGCAGTACACGAAGTATGTTGGCATATTTTCCCAAAAAATTGATTGTTTCATCATAGGTCACAATTAAATTTACAATATAATATAGAAATTAATTTATTAAGAATCATCATTGATATTTTAAATACGAATGCAGAATTAATACACAGTGATTTTTGAACCAACTTTTTCTTTTAGACTTTAGAATTAATAAGTAATTTTATGTCTGACAGTCAACGTTGAAAGTGATGAAAAAAAGTTGTAGAACTTTTTTACTTTATTTTAAAATAACAATGCCAAAACTATTTATATGCATATACAATTATTGTTTATTATTTAATGCAAACTCATTAAAGAACCTTAATTATGCACGTGTTTTGTATAGTTACTGATTTTTAAGGTTTAAGACGGCCTGAAATAATTTATAAACTCATTGCTAAACTATTGCCTTGTACGTTTTAAAGCAGTTTATTTGACATTCAATGAAATTATTTTTTTTTTAATCAATTAAAATATGCCAACAATACATTTACATACTTAAAAATACTAAGTACTAATGCAAATTGTATTTAACGGAAATTTGCAACATCCATAATTGTTTTAGAGTTCGTTTTAAAACTATGTTATATTCATTTTACGCGGATGAACGAATGGTACGCGCATTTATTAAATCAATAATATAATTTATAACGATAAAAGAAGAAAAAGTGAGGTGAGGGAACTCTATTATAAAATTCAAACGAAAGAAAAATAAGAACGAACTAGGCGCAAAAATCAACGTTCATCGTACCAAATATTTTTCCCTCGTAATTTTTGCCTCGCGGAGAAACACACTCGGTTGTATTAAGCTTTGGTTTGTATGAATTTACATGTACGTGCGCACACAGTTAGAGTTAAACTGTTGTAAAAAGGGGGAAGCCTCAATGAACGACCTTCACAAGGTCAAGGAGACTGCGTGGTCGGCCCTCTGGGGACGTAGTGCGCATTAGCAGAGGATGGATGGCCGAGACTGAGAGAGACCGAATAAAAATTCGGATAAATTTGGTGGCCGAGATCATGCCAAGTGAATAAAAAGAGGAGAATTCAAATATGCGATTCTATTACATGATGAGTTTGTAATTCATTCTAAATTACAATTTAAATGGACATTGTTACAATTCGGCCACGATTAAGTCATCTAAGCTAAATTGTTATTTTTACGGAATGTGATGTTTACAACTGTCAGAAGCTTTTGAGCATAAAGTGTTGGTTAAAAATCAATAAGCAATATTTATAAAATATGTCTGTTATGCTTTTTCACGTCATCTCAGTGTTTCGCATGAGAATTGTAAACTGTCAATTGTTAGAGAAATTATAGAATAAAGATTTTAAAAACTAATAGAACGTACACACGAATAAATATTTACGTACATTTTGATAAGCCAAATTGCTATGGGTTTTAAATAATTCATTTTAACGTTCTCTATTTTCTCCTACTTTTTAACATTATTTTAAAATAGACATTAAATCAATAATTGGACATTATAAATTAAATGCGAAAGAGTATTTAAATTCATTGTTAATGAACAAAAAAGTTTTATTAGCCGAGAAAATTAGCAAGACGGGTTTTAATGAAACAAAGTTAAATTATTAATAATTATTATTATTAAAAAATTTGTTATTCATAGTACTCAAACTCAATAATAGTGAATACTATATTATTTTCTTAATATTAACATAAACTTTTGTTTATTTTATTTTCCTACATCGGACGTTATTAACAAATTCCATATAATATTAATCTAATATAATAATATCGAATAATAATATAATAATTTGTAAGAAACAATAGATTATCTATTTCAATTTCGTACCAAATCAATATATATAAAAAAAAAAAAAAAAAACATTAAATAAAATTAACTTTAAATTAGAAACATTTTCATGTGTTCTTCTTTTGCACTATCTTTTAAATATTATTATGAAATCTTCATTTGCACATAATTACAAAACAAATATATAACGACATATTTTTTTCTTAAAATTTTTTTATTTATAATTTGCATATTTTTTCACAAAATTTAATTTTACACTTTATATCGTTATTTTATGCAAATAAATAACAAACAACAACTGTGTTTCATTTTATAATGGTGTAATTATGAAATAAAATTTTCCTTTATTTATTATAGGGAGTCATTGGCCTTTTTTGCTCTTATTTCACTTATTTCATCGTACACATTATAGGAAATTAAAAATTTTTAATCTATGCCACTACTATCTTTGAAACGAATGCTGATAAGAAAGAATTAAATATGATATATCATTTAGATAAAGTCAA